TGGTGTTCTGTTATTGTCCTTGTTGGGCCTGTCCTGTAGTAGGTGATTTCTGGGTACCCGTCTTGCCCCCTACACCACATAAGGTCTAATCAAGTGGCCTATGATAGACTATCATAGGCCAATTTCTTCTCAATTGTTTGATGATAGGAGAACAAACACTGTCAACAGAGCAGGAGGTTTTGGTTTTAGCTAGATTTTCCAATTCATCTGACTTCTCAACATCATAATTTCTGTCTTGTCTAGATTTAGCTTCAGTTACGTGCATCTCATCCTGGTGTTAATCTTAACTAGGCAGTGGGAGATGTTGTTATTTTCATTTGATGAGAAGGAGACATAAAGTTGTTTGTAGTTAGTGTATTTCTGTCATTCGAGTCATTGATATAGCTTGATCTCCTCTAAAAACTGTATCTATATGGGAATTATGGAACCTACCTATAAGGAAGTTTCTTCATCCTACCTTGTATTTGTCAATGCTGAATTTAATCTGCTAATTAATTAGTTTTGTTAGGTCTCTCTGAAGTGCCTCAGTCTTCTCTAGTCTAAATAAACTAACATGATTTTGTGACATCTGCAAATTTTGCTATAACACTGTTTACTCTTTTCTCCAATCATTAATTAATGTGTTAAACAGAGGTCCTAAAATGGAAGTTTAGAGTGCCACACCATTGCCAACCCTTACTGTACTGAAACTGACCATTTATCCCTCTCTTTGTTTTCTCTTAGCCAGGTCCTAATCCAGGAGAGAGCTTGGCCTCATATAGGGATTGTGGCTTCCCAGCCCCAAATATATTGGTGTCGGGGTGTTTCTGTTGTGCTTTCTGTCTTTTCCATCCAGAGGAAGTCACAGAGATAGGATCTTTATATATTATTTTTCTTGGTAAGTGAGGTAAGACTTTATGGTAGACCTGAGATAGAGAAGGAATTTATAGTTGATGCCTGTCTTTTTGGTGGACTGTGCCTGTGTGTGTGTGTCCGTTCAAAGATGGAAACTGAAAGGTATAATGTCAGGAGATGTTGGAGGCCCTTTCTTGCCAAGTACTCCCTACCTTTTGATGACAGTGGACAGAAGAAAAAAGAAAAACTCTCTAAAGAACCACTACATATCTGTGAAAGTGTTTTGCAGTATAGACTGTGAGCAGTGGAACAGTTATACAAAAGTGTGGATCCCTCCTTTGCAAGCTACCACTTTACAAAAAACAGAAAGAGAAAACTCTTTGGGCAGGTGGCTCTTTAAATCTCTTACTTATTCTTAAGTTTCTTCACAAATGGACAGAGAAGTCACTATTTACCCACAGTTATCAGTTCCCTCCCGTTAATCTAAGTAAAAAGAAACTATAACATGTCCCCCTCTCGCCCTAATAATTAGAAAGACTCATCAAAACTTTTTTGTAGAAATTGGGTTCTGGTTAGAGACAAACCACATAATTGGAATTTTCATGTACTTTACATGAGAGACCATAGACACTGCTCTCTCATTGGAATAATGACTATTTGGTATGCTATATCCAGAGAGTTTAAAGACTGGCTTGGGCAATTAGGCCAACTCAGAGGAGCTGCTCATGCAATTAGAAGCTGGGTGAGGAGAGGCGATAGATGGTAACAACAGGAGGAAGCCTCAATGACAATACATTCTGAGTCATCTTTCTGAAATCAGTGCATAGGCATGTAAACCCTATGATGTCTGAGGCATGATTCCATGAAGACTTCAAAGTCACATGTATACTTTTGAGGCTCGGGAACAACACTGGGCATGAGCAAATTATAATAGCACATACTGCATAAGGAGCTTAAATGTTCTCGTTAGTTGATTGACCTACAATGATAAACAAAGCTCGAGCTCTTTTTTAACATTAATAGGAAAGTGAATATGTATTTCCTTCACTCTTCCATGTTAAACATATGACTGTAGTTCACATAATTTATGTCCTTGCTAGAGCTGGATTCAGGCAAAAAACATTTTATTGGGGGCCTATTGTCATACATAGGAAACATAAATATGCATTGTTTTTGCGGCTGCCATTACAATAAAGATGAATGCATTTTGTTGGCTTTGCTGATGTTGTCAGGCAAAGATGAGTATTATCTTATCATTTTTATTTTGCTTAAGAAAATCCTGCTCCAAGGTGAAGCCAGGGTCAAGGCCAGACAAAGATTTCATATGGAAAAGTTAGATAAATAAATGCTAACCACACAGCTGTTTATTGATGTTAGGAAATGTAATTAGAGAGAAGTGTTCAGTGTGTTAAGGAAAACAACTACACGTACATCTTGTTGATTCTCTTTTTAACATAGTACTCTCATTAGGCGCATTGAAGAGGTTCTCCAGTATTTGGAATTGTACTGTAAAGCATTCCTGCTCTGTAGCGAGCTCATGTGTCTGCCCTTCGCTCACGAACAGCACTTAAAAGACTGGGTACATTGTGTCTGATACAGCAACCTTATTATGTGATTGAGAAAAAAGGA